CCAATCCCCCATTTCAACTGGACCGGTACTGATTTGTCTTGGGAGGTTGAGGGGAGGGGCCAACTATCAGTGATGACTTATGAGGTAACTTCATAGATGTACACTATAGTAAAAGGAGATAAATCTATGGGTAACTTTGACTTACATCTGTTGACTTACAAAGCAGGCCCGGATTGTGAGGTGTCGCCTCCTCGGCCTGAATTCGCATCGCACATTGAACATCGAGTAGGTCTAGTTTACAGTGTGGGCAAAATTTAGAGTACTGGAAATCACTATAACCAGAGAGTATTTTATTTATACTCTGCTATAACCATCTCTAAAATAATACGTGAAGGCAAATGTATAATGACGTAACATCCATAATAACATATTAAGATTGTCATCTTTTAACAATATGAAGCCTGTTAAATTTTGCTTTCTGTCAATGTTGATTGTGACAATTTTCAAGGCCTGATCTTACTCTAACTGTTAACCTGGTGTAGGCTAAATATTGGTGATTTGTTATAATACAGAAGTCCCCATGAGTTCTAGATCTAGATATTATAGGCCTATAATAATACCCAATAGGCCTATTGCAAGCAATGTGCGTGAACTCGGGTCTACTTTCTTCTAGGCCTACATGTAGCCTTCTGTAGGCCTACATTTGGTAGGTTTGCAATTGTACGTAGGCTAGAATCTAATGAACAAGAAAATCTACAAGTAATTCTTTATTGGTCAAAAAAAAAAAAGGAATAGGCCTACAAGATCAAGGTCCTTGTGCAGTTTTCTTTTCTTTTCTTTCTTTTTTTTGTTGTTGTTGGTCTTTGGTGGTTTGTTTCTTGTTTTGTTTTGCCGAGCTGTCACTATTTCTCTTTCGCGCCTACTTTTTTACATTTCGTACGAAAGGGATTATTTTTTGGCGTAGTAATTTAGACGTGGCACTTCCGTCAAAATGGTTGACAACCCGAAAATGAAAGTATGTTGAATAACCCACAAACCTTTCCATAGGTGAGACCGACTCTCAGTATTCCCTAATGTTCCCAAATGTCATACAGAAATTCACTTGCATTGTCTGTAATTCGCTGCACTATGTATTCAGCTTTCTTGTTAGCAGCTTCAAGATAATGGGCGTAGAATTTAAAAAGAAAACTGACTGCAAGTACAGATTCTAGGGGAGGACTTCCGTAACGAGCGACCACTATGAGACAGAGCAGAATTGAGGGCTTGGGGTAGGGGTAGGGGTAGGGTTAGGTCTAGGCCTCTTCTTTATTGTGTTTGATGGGGTGGTTGCTCGTTACGGAAGTCCTTCCGATTCTAGACTACTAAGTCTAAGTGACTAAGTCGTTTAAGTCAAGTACCGATGCCGATGACACAACAACGACCAAAATATATTAATATTAGATCTAGAATCTAGATCTAGATATAGACACCTGCCCTTGGCGCGACCGTGCCCTGAGCGCGACCAGTTCCCCATTTTTCCTTCTGTGCAGCTCGTGTGCAGTCTGTTTTATTAGAGTTACATGCCTTGTCTAGTTCCTCTTTTGGTCAATCCTTTTCCAAGAACGTCAGTCGTCTGCTAGTGCAGCAGTTGAGTTCGAAGTGAAAGGCTTATCAGAAACATTCTTAGAGAAGTTTTCTTCAGTTACTAAACTAGAGTAGCTGGCCCAACCCGCGACCACTTGTCTCTGTACCCTCTGTTATCAATAAGATAATTGTTTTCATCATGATTTGAAAAAGAAATGATTTTACTAACCCTTAAATGGTGTACTAACAACTTTCTTGCACCTGTCATATCTGTGCGCGCATGGTCGCACCCTGTTCCGTATGCGGTCGCGCTGAGGGCATGCGGTCGCACTAAGGGCAGAGCATTAACATGTTAAAATGCGAAATCTGAGATTGACGTTTTGGAATGATTGACGATATCACAGTATAAACCGGAAGTTGACACACTGAAGCGGCCCTGAACATGGATTGCAGGTACTCTAGATCTCTGATCTAGGCCAAGGAGATTAAAAGTAATGGAGGATGCTCTGTGGGCGGCACCGTACGCCTGATGGGAGCCCTCGCTCGCGGCGGAACTGTGGGCTACCTGCGCTGCGCGATTGCCCGACTCAGGCACTGAAATCTAGATAAAGAAAGAAGGTTTTATTCCGAGGTCCTTGAGATTAGGCAAGTCAATTAGTAAAAATGCCTTGCACCTGTGTTGTATTTAAGTGTAAGAACCGATATGATGCTGAAGTTTTCACAGTTAAGTTGTTTTCCTTTTAAAAAATTTGAATGAAAGTGTTCCTATGCCCCCAGCAACACAATTTAAATCATTAATATTAAGAGGCTGGCTCCGGTGCTACATGCCAAGGCCAACCCAGGCTGAAAGGGATACAACACCCCAGCAGAAAGACCGAGATACTCAATTTTTAAAAAATATTCTTATTCATAAATATATATAATTATTATGTGTGTGT